GGTTCACTTGTATAGCAATCGTTTTTCGGAATTAATTGCGGCGATAAGTATTTTCCACCTTGAATGCCGGAATTCGTAATCGACAATTCATGAATGCTAATTTTGCCATCGGCCAGTGAATATTTAAGTATGAATTGACGGTTTTGATCGTCTGGACGGGCGCTATCAATCACGCAACCAAATCGAAGATACTTATTTGCATTAACTATGTATTGAATGATATTTTTGCGTGGTTCTCTGGGAATCAGGCTTTTGCATGATGCCAATGAATCTTCCGGTGTACCGAAACCGATGTATTTTGGTGTATCCTGGAATTAAAAATAAATTTTAAATAATTCTGAATTCGTTCACAGATAAAATCGCTACATTTCTCAGTTTAATCGATCGAATTTGATCGAATTGAATCTTTTCGCCTTGTTGCACTTTTAAAATGTCTTCGTAATATCGTCGTGTTCGTGCATCACAATCACGAATCAAAAATCGGTGGCCCAGCAAATTCACTTCTTTACCAACATTAAAATCGCTGGGTTGAATATAGTCTCTTTCATCTTTTTCTTCGCTAAAACTGTCTTCTTCGGCCACAATCAAACTATTGATTAATCGTTTTGAATATCTCGGTACTCGGACTCGTTTTATCAAATATGGACAAAAATCAAAACTTTCGTCTCTGTGCTTTCGTTCTTTGACCGAAATCGTGCCATCTTCCAAATAGTATGAGATGTGATAAGGAACACAATCGCATAATTGCTTCTTTTCATCGATTCGAATGCTTTCAAAACTAAAATCGAACAAAGTTACAAACACATTTCAACATAATAATAGTTTTTAAGTTTTTTCTTCGCAAAATACCCTAGAACAATGCCAATATTTGGTCTTATCTCGGAACTTTTAAACCATAATGTTCGATTTACTGGCGCCGTAACTGGTCTTTGTTTAATGGAACGTGGTTCAGGCGTAGGTATGTGCATGTCATTCAATTCGATTCCGTTCGATATCAAAAATTCCTATTCAATATTTTTTGGTAAAAAGAAGTTTTCAATAAAAAATTGAATATTTTCTATGCAAAAAATGAACAAACTTTTGTAAATGCATCACAATCAGTTAAATGAAATGTTATGCCAAAGATTTTTATCTCAATTCCAATGTTTAAATCTTTCCACGATAAATGCAAATTTCGAATTGGATCCTTAATGATTCGTGAACGTCGAATGATACGCCCTTGATGATACCCACTATTCTGTAATTCATTAAACATTCAAATCACTTCACTTAATTCAACTTCAAATGCACCATTATTTGTACATACAATGTACGGTGGTTCAACAACAGTTACAGTATCGTCCTCCATAAAATACATCATTTTGACTTTGCGAATTAAATCATATTGCTCCGAATTTGGTTCCAAAATTTTCTGACGAAAAAAACCGTCGAAGGTTAAGATGATTTTATCATTTTGTACGAAATTCGGTTTGAATGGAGCGACTGGTTTCGATTTCACACGGCCATACATCCACGTGCAATCATTTCTGTCAAAATAAAAATATACAATTCGTTTGTTTTATTGAATAAAATTGATTTAAAATGTTTATTTAAAAAAGTTGCAGTTTTTCTGTGTCGAAATGTGATGACAAATAAAATGAAATAAAAGATGTTTTATGAGACAATTACAAAGTTCTGTTGAATTCAGTCAAACGAGTACATCCAATTTCCTGTTGCGGTGCAGTAGCAACACGATATCCATTACGATAATCTAGTGTGTGTGGCACACCATAAAATTGTTTAATTTTTTCAAATTTGTAGTACGGCAACATTTGAAGATTGCGAAAATTCTCTTTGAGACACTTTCAAGTCGAAATTTTATTTCAATATGCGCTTGTGAATTGTGGTTTTATTTTCACTGTCTTTCGATGAAATCACACGATTAAAAACGATTTTGCCGTTGGCAATGGTTGTTAGGCTTGTTTAAGTAACTAAGTAACGTAAAAATCGTGCCGAACATAGCAGAGTAGCAACAAAAAAACAAAAAACAAACACAATTCAATGGATGAACGAATGAATGAATTCAATTTATGCATACCTACTCTATTGACGAATCATGGGAAGACAGTTTTCTTTGTGTCTTCAATTCAGGTGACCTATTTAGCGATACTGATTTTGGCCGATATATTTTAATTTGTTGACGATTTGTTTCCGGTACACATCACATTTTCAATGTCAAAATCAATTCGAAAACTTTCGAGATTTTTAAGACCCATTTTCCCATTTGAAAATCTATGAAAACATTTGGTCATATTTTGAATACAATAAAACAAAGCAATTGATTTGCAATTCCATATTCGATTGAATTGTTTTTCAAAGAAACAATCACAAATCGGATCAACATTCATTCAAAAATGTTGACCTTGATATTCATTTTTGCATACAAAAAGAAATATATCGGATTAGAAATGATTCAAAAATCATCGAATCACGTAATTACTGAATTAAAACTGAGGAAATACAGACAAGGCTTTGCAGCACTGAAGACAATTGGATTTATAAGTGCATGAGTTGAAAACGGGTAACAAGATAGGTAGAATGAAGACGTGTTGAAATATGTACAATATTGTCTGCTCTTTTTTTCTCGATTCGTTTGATTTGTTATGGATTTTCTACTTCATCGCATATGTATGCATAATCACATCATTTTCCAAATTAAAAGTAGGAAAATGTATTCAATTAGCGAAACAACCGAATGATTCACTCTATCAAATTAAAGCAATTTCAATCGCTGTGCAATTAGGTATCGAGTTACAATTCTTCCATTGTAATAATTCAAAATGTAATAGAATCGATATATGTGCATTATAAAAATTTATGAATCGTTCAATTTTTCACACACTTGAAGAGAAGAGAAGAGAAGAAAGAAATCGCAACAACAAGAGAAAAAAAATGATGAAATTTTATGATGAAATTCAACAACGAGTAAATGATAAATGTGTTAAGTATGAAAGATTTACAAATCGCTCGTTGAATATGGTTATGTGAATCAAATGAGCTGAAACCTGAACGGCTTTGTTGAAGACAGATAATTGTAGTTTAAACACAATATTTATGACATGTGGTTCATCGATGACAGAGATTATAACAGACGAAGCAAAAACAAATAGCTACCTACGACCTTATCATCAACATCGTAAAAATCGCGTTGTCTTCAGCCAGTGGCACAACAATTTGTACACACAAAACTCCACTTCAAAATCTTTAACTATGCGAAACAATTGGGTTTTTCTTCTCTATCTCTACAGCGCGTTGTTGTTCAAAGAATATTTAGCTTGACATAACCTTCCCCATTTAGTAGTGCTTCAATTCGTGTTGTGTTTGGCCAATTTGTCAGTCATAGCTGTAACGGAATTGAGAAGAAACAATCACTTTTCAGAGTATTGAGAAGAAAAAAA